GGCCTAGCACATCACCAATTGCCAAGTTGAGCAACATCCATTGTCCAAGCGATATCTCCCAGGCTGAGACAAGAGAAGGCAAACCTCTCAGAGATATAGTTTACTAAAAAACCAGCACCACGCGGCCATGCGGCCATGCGACATATGCTTTGAAGTTGCCATACTCATGTTACGCACGTTGATGATTTTCGTTCCTTCTCAGCCACGTGATGCTGACTCAGCATTACGCGTACGCGTTTCTGGACCAGTTTCTGAGTTTGGACCATCTCCATTCTCATCGGTTCTACATAATGGTGAGCTATTGATATCGAACGATTGCGTCTAGCTAAAGAACTCGAATTCAACAAAGCTGATCCGAGTAAGATCCAAGGATGGTAACTTCAGATTCGAATTACAGCCCACAGCCGACATCTCCGAGTTGCTCGCCAAGGTACATCATATTCTTTAGGTTCACATTCATGAAGCTGAGACATTCTGCGCCTAGATTCTCGAGACCACAACAGATGCTGATCTTCTGAGCTTTACTATTTCAAATCAACCGCGCGGGAATGAAGTCAAGTTCTCAGAATTGAAAGGTAGAACCTTAAAGAATCTTGGACTCAAGTGAGCTCGGTGGTCTTGATTCTGTGTCAGTTTCGCTGACAATTCATCCAGTCATGGCGACCTTGTTTTTGTGGGATACCAATCTCGACCGTCTTCCTCAGTGGCGGGTGATATTGTCTCCAGAACGGTTCCAACGACGGACGCCACGAAACGACCATGGGAGCTTGTAACCGAAGATCCCGTTGATACCTACTGGCGTGGTCAGACTGGAATGTTGCCACGCGGACGCGACGCGCAATTCTGCAAGCATGGTCCTAAAGGGATGTGCGATTATTGCATGCCTTTGGAACCTTACGATGCTGTATATCATAAAGAAAACAACATCAAACATCTCTCATACCATGCGTATCTTCGCAAAATTACTCCCAAGACATCTGCTTCTTCTCTTCCTCCGCTCACACCTCTCTCTTACAAAGTTCAAATTCCGTGTCCGACAGGAGGGCATGCGCCATGGCCGGCAGGAATTTGCACTGCATGCCAGCCATCTGCGATCACACTCGCTTCACAGCCATTCAGGATGGTTGATCATCTCGAAATTGCATCCACGGATATTATCGAGCGCTTTCTCCAAGCGTGGCGCAACACCGGCCTTCAACGTTTTGGATGGCTTATCGGACGCTATGAGCCCTATGACAAGGTTCCGATGGGTGTCAAAGCCGTGGTAGAAGCCATCCATGAACCACCACAAGAAGGAGAGCTGGATGGGTTGACGCTCGGACTACCCTGGGAGGACGAACCGCGTGTACGAGAATTGGCTAAATTTGCTTCTACCCCTTTGACTATCGTGGGCTACATCTTCACCGATCTAGATCCAACACCGGAAGACCGATCTAAGAATGTGTACAAACGACACCCAGGGTCGTTCTACCTTTCGTCATTGGAAGCTATTTTTGCCGCCACTGTACAAAAAGCCAACCCAACTGTGTCACTGTCATCACCCACAGGGCAATTTGCATCTCGACTAGTCACTGCTGTTCTAACTGCAACTGAAGATGGTCATGTTGATGTTGCTGCCTATCAGGTATCTGAGCAGGCCGTCGCCATGGTGGAAGCAGATATGATTGAGGCTAGCGTCGACCCAGGTATCGTTCGTGTAAAGGAAGAAGATCGAAGTCAAGAGACGGCGCGGTATGTTCCTGACGTGTTTTTCACGTATAAGAATGAGTATGGGCTTGAGGTCAAGAAGAGTGCGAAACCTTGTTTCCCCGTAGAGTATCTCATGCTGAATGTATGCCACACTCTTATCGTCCTCCCCTGACTCTGATCTTGCACCCATAGGTAACTCATGGCTTTCCCCAAAACCCGTCGCCCATATTCAAATCTAGCCAGTTCAAAATTGAGAATCGTCCCGGCTTGGAAGATCAGAGCGTCGAAAACGTTATGACCACCCTCCAGAGTCTAGATGCGCCCAATATACCCGAAAGTCGGTTTGCTAGACCTGGTGAATTTCAGAAGAGAAAGGAGCTTGCGACATACTTGAGTGACTGGCATCTTGTAGCCTTCCTTGGGTCAAGCCAGCTATTTTCACCGGTATGTGTAGCTTATCAACGCTCTCAACGGAATCGATGACTCAAGGAGTCAATCTTCAGGAGGATATGAAAGTGTTTGTGCAGACTGTTTCACGTGCAGATCTTCTAGAGGAGCCATCTGCGCTCGATTCTCTTCTTGTTACAGATGGATGGCAAACGCTCATGACCTTCACGCGTGAAAGTGCCCGTACGTCTCCATCTCTTTCGTTCTGCTCTTCTGTTGACCTGTCCTTTGTAGCGGTGCGCCCCTCGTCTTCTGTACCTGGAGGTTCGATCTCCCATATGGACGAGGACATACCGCAGGAAGTCTTTGACCAGATCGCGGCCGAAGAGGCTAGCCGTGGAGATGCAGGTGGTTCTTCTCTTAGGGTCTGCCCACACTGCACGTTCGCCAACGAGCACAGCCGCCCAGATTGCGATGTTTGCGGGCTGCCTCTATAGTGACACATCAAAGATCCTTGTATTTTTCCAACATCAACATCTGATAACATCGGTTTCTTCACGGAGTCGGACAACAGCGAAGCGATAAAATTAGTCTGTTATACCAATGTCTATTAGACGGAATTGATACGTGTACTAACCTCAAACATGTGTTCTGCTATCTACTTGTCCAGGCTTGTTTGAGTCATCCCGGTGCCGCCAGGACTGACGCCTGATGTCGGGTATGAGCGCAGACCACCACAATAATTATACGAGAGTTCAGTGAGTGCTGCCTACTGCTATTTCATATCATCTCAAAACGACCATGAACTCGACTCTGTTCAATTTGCACATGTCATGAAGACATCCGCCTTCTACTACTCCATATTCTCATGTACACACATCCATATCTGGCGCGACTCTTATCATTCTCGATTATACAAGGTGGTACAAAGGCAAAAGCAAATCGTGTGTGTCATTGTCATAAGGTCCAAGTCGTCATCTCCGAATCCCGTTAGTGTGTGTGTGGAACATCCATGCAGCATGTAAGGGTGGCCTTGTGACAGCCCTAGAATGGAATGAGGACGAAGAGATTGCATAGGTAAGGAACTGTAGGAAAAAGAAAGAGTGCCTAACTGAAAAAAAAACCTGGGGTACGGTACCAAATAACGTATGAAATCAATGTCTGTTGACTGACTGACTCGCGCTGTCGCGATCAGAACCAGCGGCGGAAAAAAACCAGAGTGTTGCACGGTACAAAGAACGGAAAAACTGACGACGAACACAGTTTGACCAAGTGGATTTACCGACTGAATAACCACCAAAGCGCGAAACTGACACCGAACAGAATTCCAAGTGCGCGTGCGACAATCACAACGACTAGGGCCTTACGAATGGCAGCGTAAAAATTACTGAGGGCTGAACCAGACCAATTAATTCTAGATGGAAGCGTGGAAAGTCTATCAGAATTGCATACTTCGGTCATATGATACAATTCATACCGTCTGTCATTGGTTCCTCCCGAACGAACACTTGCTTCCCAACCACGCACGACCGCCCTATACCGTTTGCCAAATACCCTACATTATATGTACTCGTAAAAGAAAGATCCAGAGCTTAAAAGGAAGACGTACCAAATCCAAAAGTTTACGTCAGGATAGGAGAAGCGAGGGAAGACGCTAGCGAGGCTCGGGGCAACAACATCCACACGCATAGTCTCAAACTCGGCCTGATACGGGAGTTGCATCGATCCCAAAAATGGGGTCGAATCGACATTCTCGGGAGTAGTGAACCTTGAGTTTGGAGTGGAGAAAATCATGTACGACATCAAATCGAGCGTCATTCCGAGAGATAAGCCCCAAAGCTTGAGACTCTGGGGAGGGCGGACTGGGACGCCTTTTTCAAGGGTGCTTTGAGACTTGGTGTTGGCGAGAGGCGGGGTGCAGGAGCTAGTATCGAGAAGGATGGCAGGGAATTCCATTGTGCCAATGAGCAGGCGGATGAGTAGTCGCAAGGCGGAGTTATGTTTAGGTGCAAGACGAGAAGCAGCGTCGACAGTGACCGTGGACCAGCAAGACGGAGTAGCGGGTAAGACGAGAGACGTAAGTGGCGTCCAGTGGAGGGACGTGGAATCGATGGGATCTGGCAGGGGGGCATCGGGAGTGACCTGAAGGAAGACAAAGGGAGAGAGGATCATGAGGAGGCGTTTGCCAAGGGAGGTGGTAATTTCGCGGTCATCGAGCTGACCGATACAGGTGTATTGGCGCTCGGCGAGGTCAATACCTATTTCGTCCCATGTTTGACGCATGGCTGCTCCACGAATTAGTAGGAGAGAACGGACTAAATGATCTGACTCCGCGCACCAGTGTACAATCCACCCTCGTCATCGGGCTCGGTTCTTCCACCGGGGAACGCGACATGGGAATCCTGAGTGCTGCGACTACGTGGTTGAGCTAGCGACACTTCGTCTGCAGATGCATTGTGACGATGAAGGAAGAGAATCTCGGGTCGGGCGTCGGGGTCGTTAACCCATTCTTGCTCGAAGAATTCAGAAAGAGAAAGCGGCGTCGAGGGCGAAGAGGGAGCAGGAGCAGAGTGAGATGGAACGACACGGATGATGAGAGCGACGGCTGCTCTTCGAGGCTCTAGAGGGAGATGTGAGCAAGTTCAGAAGGAAGAAGAGAGATACGGACGGGTCGGGGGCGAGGCGATGATACGAGGCGGGGTAGAACGGATGCGGTGTAGAGCTCTGGAAAGCAGAGGAACAATTGACGCAGGTTTCTCTGTGGCGCAAATTAGAAATAGAGATCCGAATAAGCAGGAAACTGACCTTGCGCCATTGTAGTTACACGCGAGTATCTGTGCCCCAAACTTTTTATTATTCTGACGTAGCCTCGGCTCTTTCCGGTTCATCCCCAAAAGGCAACTTCCATACCCCAAAAAGACTATAGGCACTGCCAGGGTTCGAACCTGGGTTACGGGAAATTAAATCTCAAAACCCCGAGTGATAACCACTACACTACAGCGCCACACAAAGTATCGTTATGTCGCCGACACCACATCCCACGACGCGCTCATCCTCAGGTCACCACTCGTGCACCCGCTCAGCGGCCACCATTCATTGCCTTCCATCAGGTCGTCCAGCCGCAAAGACAGCTCACCGACAACCCCATCCTCGTCATCGATAATCCTCACCACGATTACGCACTCGGCCCGACTGGGACAATAAAAGGCACATGTCGTCTCCCATACAGGATTTGTCCCGCTTGCTCGACACGTCGCATGTACGACTGCATCGTCGTATCCGAAGCTTACTTGCGCCACAGTACTCAAGTCATCTGCGGTGGATCCGCGGGGGGCTAGCCGCCGCGCCTCCGAAATGTGCAGAGTGACTATTCCAGGGGCTAACGTGAATGTTAATCCGTAAATCATGCATCTTGCAGCGTATATCTCACCGTACTCCGGAATGGTTCCCGCTCCTTTGCTAACTGGATAATACGCCAAATTGACCAGTAGGTCTCCTCGCTGTTTCGAGCCCTTCCTTAAAGGGAGGTTGTGCCCACCATGGGCCATGTCCTCTTCCAATTGCGATAATTGAAATTGCGTCTCTCCAAGCAGGGTATGTCGTCGATATTCATGATGGTCATATAAACGCAGATCCAGGATCCCAGTTAACGAGTATATCACAATGTACTTGGTTTCCATCCATGTCGGTTCAAAGCTAGATATAAAATCGTCAAGTCTTAAGATCTTCTTCTATGTTACAAAGTACATACTCGTGATACAAATGCTTTGTTCTTGCAATCTCTGCCGCGTCATTGATATGGATACTCACGAAGGGATCAGGAGCGCTTCCTAACAACCTGTTCCACCGGACTATGTGTGCGGATTGAATAGTCAGGCAAAGTACACCGATCGGGCTCATAGATCAAAATCGGTCTCAAGCTGGAATCGTAGCAGTTATGAGGGAGTGAAGAAGCGATGGCATCTGGTCTAAGTGTAGATAAAAGTGATAGGTTACTCTATGTCATAGATAAGATCTTATCTTCTTTTTCTACATGATCCCAACGCCCGATCTCTCTCACTTGTCCGCAAAGGATTACGACCATGTCTATGAGCCCGCAGAGGACACATTTCTCCTCCTTGACGCTTTAGAAGAGGACGAAAAAGAGCTTAAGGATTTACACCCCAGCATATCACTTGAAATCGGGTCAGCTCAAGTCGTCTAGGACATTCTTCTGGAAACATTTCTTAGGTCAACTCTACAGTCCGGGATCAGGCTGCGTCTCCGCATTCATTGGAAAAATTCTCGGGCCTTCTGTACGTGCGTTACTTGCACCTCGACCCACCGGTAAACTTGGCATTTACATACCTCCAGTATACCTCTGCTCCGATATAAATCCACACGCGTGCACATGCACACGGGCGACTGGAACCCAAAACAAAGTCAGTCAACTATCTCAATCTATGCCAGAGCTTGAGTCATTTGAACATTCTTTATAGGTGACGCTGGACGTCATAAACGCGAGCTTTGCCTCGCCACTGACTCTGCGCCTCAAGCACGCTGTAGACATCATCTTATTCAATCCACCATATGTCCCTACGATCCAGGAGGAGATGAGTGACGCGCAGGATAAATGCAGCATCTCAGGTTCTTGGGCGGGGGGTACGGACGGGATGAATGTGACAAATATATTCCTCGAGCATGTCGAGGTATGCCTAATTGACCTTCAGCCGTGAAGTCTTTCTTGTTGATACGCTTGTTGTCTATGAACAAGGAACTTCTGTCAGAACGCGGCCGTTTCTATCTCGTTGCTGTGGCAGAGAACGATGTCCCTGGCATTCAAGAACGAATGTCAAAACTACATGGGCTGCGAAGCGAAGTGAGTGTGCTTGCTGAAATCCGCTATCTCTCTTTCTAATTTTAGACCAGATCGTGTTAAGCCGTAGGGCGGGACGGGAGCATTTGTTTGTGATAAGGTTCATTCGTGATCCTTCAAGATCTAGAGGCTAGACACCAACGACATCCTCAAGAGACAACACAGGAGTGATGGTTGCCCCGCCATGCCATTCCTGGCGTGAACAGCAGTGCAGAGCAATGAATTAGCTGTATCAATACCGTATAAATCGTACAGGGAGCTACATATACAGCTGCCGAAGATCATGTCATGTCTCCACTCGTTCTCCTCTCTATAAAGCCTCGGATATTCGCATGCCCTTCCATGCGACCAAAGAAACACCGCTTTCCTGCGTTCTCCCACAAAACAACATCGAGCTCCCTTGCGTAACCAAGAACCAATTCGTAGTCGGCCTGAGACGTGAATGATGTGTAGAGGTAACCTAACCATCAAAACTTCGTCAGTTGGATCATAGCTTGAATGATTATGGGCGACGGACCTTCCGAAGACTTCAGTCGGTTTCGCTCGAGCTCCCAAAGTCGAATCTGATCTTGGACCGTTACTGGTAGAAGAGGATTCTGTGAAAAACTATGAGTCACTTTTGACTACTAACTAGGAGACAGCTGACATTTTTCCGCATCTGCGGGTGGGCATGGGTTATGAGGTAGCTAATAATCTACAGAATAAGTCATTGGGAATTTGCTGAGGACCCGAAGAAAACATACCTGGTCCGCTGTTATCCCGTTATTGAGAGCCTTCTTGACACTATCGCGGGTGATAGAGCCAACCACGAGGTTTGGAAAGCGGTATTTTAGGGAGACAAACAGATTGAGGACAGCAGTTCGCAAAGGATTGTCTAAAATGTTGTGAGAAACACGGTTAGTATGCAGGATGTTTTTCATGTACCAGTATAAGCATATATCCGGTAGTTGGTTTCTAAAACAATGAATCCATCTTGAGCTCCTGCACCTGTTCCTGTCGCTGTTGGCAACGGGGGAGATGACGACGTCAGTGTAGTTGACAAGCGCGTTGGACTAAATCGTTTGGACGATGGCTAGATGGCACTCAATTTCCAGGATTATGCCAAAAATGGAAGGAATCACCCTTCGCTGCCATATGAGCCCATAGTCCCGCAAATCTTCCAACATTGCGTTTTGACTGACGCCCAATTTTTCCGTAGAGTACTCCTGGTTCGGTAGAACTTAGAGGATGAAGATTGCATCGCTTGGCCGGACTGACCTTCCCAAGTTGCATAGTAGACAACATGAACAAGAAATTTAGAACCTCAACGAGATCCATTTGGCGTTGCTGTGGAGGAGAAGAGTCAGAACACGAGATCAAATCCTGGATGCTGGCGAACCTCGGCCATGTCCAGATATTGGAGTAAGAGAGCCCAGAGCTGGTCATGCGGAGAGTGAAGGAGGAACTGGAAGCCGATTGACGTGATTTGCAGAGGTGATCCACTAGAAAGGCGTTACTGGATGAGGGCCGAAATGCGACCTAGCGGACTCACCGATGGCTAACCATCAGCCCACTTCGCTGAAGTAGATATAGAACACCCGTGGAAGGCTTAGGAGGATTTTGTCCTGTTCCGGATGATACCATATAATGAAGGATAGTCTAGCGCGCACATAAGCTGACGCAGATCAATTAGTGCAGAATAGCAGGAATTACCTCCCATCTTTCTAAAGCATACCCGTCCAGACCTTCTACATCAAGCGGTGTACGTTTGTCGTCTGGCTCTGCAGGAACTCCGAAACTTCCGCTTGTGCCACTACAACTTGGTTGAGAAATTTCGTCTTCGCATAAAGCAGCCACACCTCACCTTCCTGTGATGGCTTGCCGGAAACTTGTCTTGAATGTCGGATTCAGTGCGAGTTTGACCAATGAATTTGGCACTATATGTAGTCGGTAAAGGTTGCTCAGCGAATCGTCGTACAGCCTGAATGAGCAGAATCATGAGGCCGCCCGGCGCGAACACCATGAAAGCACACATCTAACGCAACTGTTTTCCTTCTCGAATGACCCATACAGCCATTGTTGAAGCGGGTATGGCAGATTCAAGCCAGAGCAAACTCATCACGATTTGTCTTTCTAGAGGCGCCAGAAGACGATAAATAGCGAGACATGAAGAAGGGAGCTGGTAGAGGCGAGTGAGCGTATTTTGCGACTGCAGCTGCAGAAATGGTATGAGAGGATGGGGAACGGATGCTTTGGAGGCTGTATCATGATCACCACGCCGGGCGGACATGGTTGTCCTATTAGTCGGACTCAAATAGCTCAACTTTGTCCAAGTTGACGCGCCTCAAATGTTCAGTCGCGTCCCGGTAACGCAAAAATTAGAAATTACATGGCTATTATAAACAAGTATATCAAATACGGAAATCGAAGCTTTCCTAGCGAACAGTCCGTGATTTCAGAAAAGAATTTACTATATATATATTGCATGTATCAAAAATGAACGTAAGTATCGGTGCGGAGTCGTTAGCCGATCCACTCTCCTACAAAATGACCTCGAAAATCACTCAGCGTTAGACACAATTCGGCGAGACCGTCCGCCTATACTGAACCGTGAGGTCGAATGTGCTATGGACGGAGTCCCACCCGGGCGCTCGTCCGATGAAATTGACGCACCGCTTCTACTAGGACGTAGAGCAGGATCATACTCAAGACGTAACCGTAGAAGGCCGCCCTGGCGAAGTTCAAGGGATACATCTGCTGCGGTGACTCCACGGGGCTGAATGTGGCGCCAAACCTGAAGGAATTGTCAATGCAGTTCGACGAGGATATAAAAAACCGGAACACCCACGTCGACTTCGCCATCACCAAGATCTTTGTCTTTGCCTATGGTTTTGTGCTCGTGTATCCAAACGTGGAGCTTAGCCGCATGTGGCCCAACATTAAAAGTAAACGACTCGTTCCTATGAAGCTTGAATTGAGTCGTTCATAGCTAGAATTGCTCGCTTACCATTCTGGAGTGGTCGTTTTGGCAACATACTTAGTCTTCACTTCCTTATCACCTAAACGTAGCACGGTATAAGGCTTCGTTTCACCACCAGTCAAGTCTTTGGCATCCAAGACAGTGACCTTGAGAGTTCCAGGCTCTGGATTTCCGTTACTTTCCGGGTCAT